TGCAACATCTCTGAGGAATCCATGGAACATATTTTTCTTCAGTGTTCGTGGGTAGCCACAATTTGGTTTGGTCTTTTGAACTATAGAGTTGTCAGAGATGGGAACCTGACTTGGGTTCAGTGGCTTCTCTCCCTCTTGGTTTCTGATTCTAGGTCTTATCATAATAAGGGATGGATGCTTTCCTATGTCGTTTTTACGTGTTGGCACATTTGGAAAGCACGTTGTAATTGCATCTTTAACCATATGGAAATCAACCCTCCTCAAGTCCTGTTTGCCATCTCTTTGTCGACCGGGGCTTTCTTTGATGCTACTCGCTGTCATTTGATTCCTTAACAACCGTCTCTGAGGGTGATGCTCCGGTGATAGTCTGGATCCCTCATACTTCTCTATTCATAAAAATAAATGTTGATGCTAGTTGGTGTGCTTCCAATGGTGAGGGGTTTGCAGGGACGGTGATGCGAGATGCTGTTGAGGGGTTTCTAGCTACTACTAGGTTCACCATCAAAGCAGGTTACGCTGCCCAGGCTGAAGCGTTGGCCATCATCCACGGGTGTCAGCTGAGTCTCTCTTTAGGCTATCAGTTGGTCATGGTGGAATCTGATTCGCTCGAATCTGTTTTGTGCTTGAGGGATTCGTTGGAAACTGGCAGCTGGGAAACCTTTCCTACTTTGGCGAAAGTCAAACATCTTGGGGAATCTTTCCAGAACTGTCGCTGGTCTTAGGTTCCAAAATCAGCCAATATGGCGGCGGATTAGTTTGTGTCGGCGAGATTTTCGGAGATGAGCGATGTTTCATGCGTCGATAGACCCCCATCTCCGTTGGTGCATATTCTGAACAAAGATGGTTTACCATGTCCACCTTAGTTTTTTTGTTGGCTTTGCAGGAGGCGACGTATTTGCATTCTTTGCAACGTCTTTCTTACTTGTACCCTCCTGCATTGCTAGTTATGTTTTTGGCTGCTTATTACTTGCCTCTGTGTAGGCTTTATATGAATCTTAGCATCTTTGCCCTAGTAATGATATTCCCGGTTTCCAAAAAAAAAAAAAAGACTAAATTGCTCTCCCATATAAATGGGGTTATTATGAAGGAACCCTACAAAGAGTACCAAATTGATGAGAATTGAAGCGAGCCCCAAAACAGGCAAACCTTGCAGAGCTGTCAAAAAGGCAATTGAGGATTGCTGAGCTACTGGAGAAGACGAAGGAGCTGAGGAGGTACATCCATTGAGGAGGAGAGTGGGACCCATTATTGGATGTAGCGGAACTTGTGCAGGAGTCGATTGAAAAGAGTGAGTCGATGGTGAGCTGCTAAGCGAGAGGAGGAGGAGAGATTGAATCGTTTGACAGAGAAGGGCATTTCACCATCTGGGTTTTTAGATAAAAGCTCTATAAAGACACATTGCAAAAGTTAAAAAAACAGAAGACCTCCTTAAATGAAGCAAAAGGTAAAAAAGCATAAGCTTTCCTTCAAATGGTAGAAAACTATGAAATGGGTAGCTCTAGATTTGGCCGCGAGGAATGGGGTCGAACGCGTCGGGGTGGTAGAGGCTCGTGTGACACTGTCGATGAAGCTGATACAGGTGCCACATCTCCTTTCTTCCACTTTAACTTCGTCTCTTTTCCATGTCGCTCTATTTCTCTCCAATTTTTTATTTTTTAATTTATAAAGAACCAAAGTTTTGTTCTTCCCTCATTGCAATTGAAATTTTTTTATTCTTAGAAATAAATGAAGAAAAAAAATTAATGAAAGAAGTGACATGGAACTGAAAAGTTTCCTATGTCCCCTTCGAGTAGTTATCATTTTTTGTGATTGTTACTTCAATTCTTAATCTGGGAGAAGGGAGAGAAGGATAGAGAGAGAAGGTTGCAGAAGAGAGAGTGAAGAGAAAGAGGAAGAAAGAAATCTTCTTTTGCGTGAACAAGTTAAAAATACGTACTTATACACGGTATGGACACTATATGTACACGATATGAGCAAGATATGCTCACAGATCTGAGCCTAAACAAAAAATCCAAAGCTCACAGTTCTCTCTTCGAAATAAAAAAAATGACATAATGAGTTGTGAGTTTTTAAAATTTATATGTGGGTATTTTCGGCATTTCGTTTTTGTGCAGAGTGCCATTATCGGTTTCTCCTATTTTAGTCCAAAGATTAAGAAAATCACCTATTTATGTAAATTTCCCTTAAATATATGACAATTTTAAAAAAAATGGAATTAAAATTAAAAAAAATGGAAAAGTAGGAAGTGGGAGAGAAATGGAGGAGTAAGGTTATATGGTGTGAGGGAAGGAAAAAAAAAACAACAAAAACATGTTTGTGCAAAATTACATTAATGTTCATATTTTTCTTTCTTTTCTAATATTTTTTAATTATGTACAAAAGGGTTAATAATAATTCTCTAAATTTTTTAATTGATAAACAGAATTCTATTAATATGTAGTTTAAATTTTTTATTCTAGCCTTGATAATGTTTCTGTATTTAAGAATTCACTGCCAGATTATTGTTTATATTTGTAAATGGATATCAATGATTCTGCCATTACGTATTTTATGTACTTTAACTCCATAATGCACAATGAATAGAGACTTTATTTATATTGTTGTTTGTGCATGAAGGACACTCTTTCAATTGCATGAGGTGTAATCCGTTTGTAGCTAACAAGAGTAGAAGATCAACTAAAACTGAATGCTTCTCTCTGAAAGGTGGGATGTAATATTTAGGATCGTTGCAACTAGATGATTCTTTCATGAACCATGAAAATGAAGATAAGTCATCCAAATTCAGAAAGAAGAACATGCAAAATATTGGTGTTGATCAACTCAAAGAAAATATTACAACTCATGATACTAAGGATCATTTCGTTGAACAGACAAAAACTGGTATAGATTAGGTTACAATTCATGAAACTAAGGATCAAGCCATCCAGGTCCAGGAAAATGAATAAACAGAAGTTAGTTTTGATAAGCATGCAGAAAAGATTACAACTCATGCAACTGAGGTTAGGGTAACCAATTGGATTAAGTTGGACTTCCAACTGCCATCATTGCTTTGATTGTCCTTATCGCTTCAGGTCAGCTTAGGGAATCCGTTTGTGATGTTGTTTAGTTTGGAGTAAAGGAAAGGAATGACCTGTAGAAACAATGGTAGACAACAGTAAGACCATTGTGAGTATTTGTATATAATTTATATAATTAATACATTACATAATTAAATATATGTGTTTGGTTCAGTATTTGACTCGGTTTTTTAAACCCACCCCTACTTCATGGATCTTCCCTTGCCTTCATTCATCGTGCGTTCACTTTGGAAAAAAAGTACCAGGAATCATTGACAGTGCTCTTTATGTGTCAAGTCCTTATTTCATTGATCATTTTGATCACCCTGACCTCTTATTGGTTTTAAAACCTCTAAATGGCAAAAATTATGCTACTTGGATTCGATCAAAGATGGCTTCATCGATGGCAGGGTCACGCCTTTCTCACTGAAGAAACAGCAAACCAGCTGTTATACTCGTTGGAATCGTAACAGGAACATAATTATATTTCATGGATCATAGAAATGCGGGTCAAGCCATCCAAATTCAAGGACCATTTGCAATAAAACTCAATTAAGTTCTATTCCAATGCCTAAACTTAATTAACTCTTGTACTAAACAGTAAGAAAAATATATTGTCTTTGTAACCCGTACACTAAGTTGTTAGATAGAGTAGTACTATATACCTATTTATTATCCAAATTAACGTAACAATATTCCATCTGTTGATGTCTGAGCCCACTCTTTTACCAATCTATTACCTTATTTATTCACACTAAATTAAAATTATCACATGAGTTATTACCTAAGCCCGTAACCACATGACACGATGAAAAAATTAAGAAGGTCCAAAGCTCCAAGCTCTACCTATCTTTTGGTACAGGATCCAACTTCATCTAGAAAAAGTCCTAAATCTGCCGCACTTTGCTCCCGACATAAGCAAATGTAAGGAATGCTTCTAGGAAGGTCAGTTATGGAGGACTAGAGATCCAAGAAGAATAGCAAAAGAAAAGGAGAAATGAAAGCTTCACCAACGGTCGGATTAGTTATGTTATGATTTGCTCATTTGGATAGGTAACAGTAACACATGTTTTTGTAAAACATTTCAGTTCTTTGCAGGTCCAGCACTACTAAGCTAGCACATAAAAATATCATCCGGACCGACCTTCCTTTTCAACAAAAAGACGACAAAGTAAGTATAATAATTTACCATAAACTGAATTTCATATTCCTACAATCATAACCAAAGTTCATGCCGGTTGCATTGTTTTCAATTTCCAGTACAAAAACCATTATTTTCTTCTAATAATTTAGTGCAAATTGGATTTTTTTTATATTTAAGTTTTAAGTTTATTAATAAACTCATTTTTTTACTTTAGTTTAAGTGTCGTGTTGCTACATGAAATTGTTTCATGTGCTTGGCACATTGCGTTGGATGCTTACAAAACATCATTATTCTAAGACCCACTTTAATTACATCATGGCGTAACGTTTTTATTATTCTGTTACAGGTAACGTATTTTATGTGAGAAAACCTTAACCAGACATTTCCGTCACGTCTCAAGTTGCAAGCCGCTAAGTTAGAATATGTCACGTAACATTAGTTTTTAATAGATTTTAATTGACAATATTAGTCACAGAATTTTCTAAATGCAAGAAATTCTCAGCTCTAGTTTTCTCATGCACACTAGTAGAAAAAAACTCATCTATCATGGTTGATGTTCGTGGTAGATTGCAATTCACCACGGACACTGTGCCCGTTAGTAATCTGGATGTGATAGAAGGTTACATATTCTACCACGGGTTATGCCCGTTGTCAATTGTAATATAACCACAGATTGTGCCCGTTGTAGATTAAGATCTAACACCACGTGCACTATAACCATTGTGGATTACAAATTGGCCACGGATAATGCCCGTTATAAAAAAAATTCTAATAATTCTTCGAAAAAAAAAATTGTTTAATAAATGTATTATATAATATTTATAAACAAAATTACGCATTTACTATAATATAACAATTAAATAAAAAAATCATAGATTTTGAACATTACAGTTGTACACTAAACTAAAGTTACAACAAAACGATGAGATCCAGAGACCTCCAACAAATAAGGACATTTTCACTTGAAGACTTCACATTTCTTTGAACACCTCCAAACAAAGGACCTTGAGAATGAACTACTGCCCTAATGCTTGAGCCTCAGCAATTGTTGCCTCTCTCTATCTAGATGGACATAAGCATATGAATCAAGAAGAAAAAAAAAAAATCTTGTACTTGTATAGGTAGAAATATACATTTGATCTCAATCAAGAAAAGTGAATAGAGCTCTTGAAAAATTACATGTTCCTTTACCTGCTAGGATGCTCTCATACATACTTTAACAACCACTCTAGGCTCTGTCAAATGTAGCACATTGTCAGCTACGTTAATATACAATGATTATATTAAATTGCAATCGAAACTCTTAGGAACTTAAATGGAGAAATGAAAATGCGATCAAAATTCATGATATCAGAATTCATCCATACCTCTATGCATTCATGTAGATCATCACCTTCTGTTCTCACATGAGTTTGCAAAACCATGAAATCGCGTCAATGAGTAATTGAGAACTGGATGTGTGCGAGACTGAACTCGTTCACATACATCTCAAAACAAGTATCAATGTTTATACTTACTACATGACAACATATCAAATGACAGGAGCAGAAACCGGAAAAACATTGTCTAGGCCCTAATTAATCTCATGTTGTCAATAAATAAGGGGGACCATTATTATTTTAGGACAAGGGGAAAGGTAAAATTCCCAAGTTTCTAACCTGTACAGTTGCAGCAATCAATGTATCCAAAAGGGTGTTGGCAGTGTAACTATTTGACTGCATGAGAAGAAAAATAAACATACAAATTACTTTTACCTCAATACATAAATTAAAAGTTCCTTAACGAACTTGATGCTAAAGTAAAATGAATTTACATCACATCTTGTAACAGTGTCGAGGGGAAAAACTGGGGATAATGGATAAATAGAAAATGGAGAATCGAAGAAAGCAATGAAAGTTGAAGACCAATGCACGGTTACAAATCAGTTTTCTTTGAGAACAAAAAACAAACACCGGGTGTGTAAGTCTGAAAGTTGAAAACCAAGCTTTGATGCTTCACTTGATGATTAAACCTTGATGGTGGTGAGCACAGATATCAGAGAGGCGCACTGCAGTACCTGCTTTTCTCAGAAGTAGAATCGAATAAAGCAAGCCAGAGTAATTCATTAAAAATCATCTTACGTGACTCACTAGTTGAGACAGAGTGATGATTTGCAGACAAATATGGGAGAACTTGCCCGTTATTGGACAATTATAACTAAACCCAACCTATCATAATGAGATTGTCTATCCCTTCTAAACACTAAACCTTCTATGCTAACAAAAGAATAAACTTCAAATGCAAAATGTCTACATTCCATTTTGGGCACTCAAAATCACAATCCATACTTCACCTTATCACCTCCGTAAGCATAAACATCGTCGCCATACCTGCATCGGGACCAACATTATACCGCTTCCCATATGGATCCAAACCCAAATTGGATCGGCTTCGGTTGCATCCCCCATACTTATCATCTAAATAGGAGCCACCAGAGCCACCGACGTGATCGAATTTCAGAGAATCTCATATGGATTTTCATATACAGAACACATACATGAGTATATTGGAACAAGCTTTGGGATTTTTACCTTATAGAAGAAGTTGCGGATTTGGGTGCGCAGTCGACGGAAAGGAGGACGAGTTCACGAGGAACTCACCGGGTTTGCAATTAGAGATGGTTTTGATTCTGACTCTGAAAAGGTTGAATTGGGCTCGGGTATGCACAGGTAGAGGCGTTTGAAAATTTCTGAAGAGGAACATAGAAGTTGCACGAGAGAAATGAAAATGAGGAGGGAGAGCTAACGTGCTCTCTTTGAAAATAGGGAGTAAGAGTTTTGGGTGCCGTGCCAAAATTTTGGCAGCCTTCCAAATTTTTAATCTCCCGCCTCTTCTAAATGTTTTCAATTATGGAGATAAAAACATCCACCACGGGCCAAGGCATGGTGAATTCACAAAAGACGATGTGATAGTTTGAAGTAACCACTACGAGCATATCTCGTGGTAATTATGATATTTCATTACAGATATAAATGTCTGTTGTAGATTGTTCATTTTTAACAATAGGCCAAAATTTGACTGTGGTGGATTAATGTTATCTATCACGAGTTAAACTTGACCGTGATAATTGAATAGTTTTTACCACGAGCTACATATGCCCATGATAGAATTGACTGAACTGTTTTGTTCTAGTGGCAACTCATCAAATCTTAATTACTCTTATAACAAAGTCCAAATAGATATTGTACAAATTTTAAGCAGATGAAGGTTTACAATAGCTCCACAAAATGAGGAAGAATACTAACAAGACGCCACACCTGCTTATCTTGCATGACCAAAGATTCCCGTCGGTACTCAATACTAACCCTACCTAAATTCAATGACGAAGTCAAAAATTGTCGGAGAGATGAACGGAAATTAAAATAGTAAACCAAATTCTTTTAGATAGTAGACAATATTAATGTCGTTTGACTCAAAAACGAAGCCACATATATAGATGCAAGGAGGTCGTCGGAAATCGACCCAAGAATGTCGTTTGACAATAATAATCCCCTAGGTTTCTTTGCTCTAGGTGCATTTGACCCAAAGGGCAAGGCTTAATCAACCAAATGCAATGGAGTAAAATCTTTGAGGAGTATGTGTGCGTGTGTGTGTATATATACTTATCACAATCGGAATATTGTATTGCATTGGACTTTAAACAGCTCAGATTGTTCACATGCAAATGGAATAGTTGGAATTTGGATAGTGGTGGTATTTACGCGTATGGTACGACTTTATCATAAATGGAAACCTAGGGCACTTGTTGGGTATTTTGCCATTTGGTAATTGAATATGTCCCACATTATATGCCATAATTGGAGCGATTTCCAAATTCAACCATACATGCGTTGCATTTTATTTGCTTCTTTCTCAGTCTGCATATTTTCCTCTTTGGCTCGACTGCTCGACATGATGTGATTTCTCAAGTGGCGTGCGTTCTTCCAAGATGATCAATCAAATTATCAAGAGCTTACATGTTTTAGTGTGATATGCTACTTTATTTATTTATTTATTTTTTTGTCAAACATATATATGCTGTTTTATGAAATTTGTAAGTTTGTTTTAATGAAAACGATATCTTATCTGATTAGAAAGATAATTCTCAAATATAACGTCATGAAAAGACGTCGGAGGCTTCTCGAATCAAGTACAGACTTGACCAACATGTAGAGTGAATCTAGCTAAAGTTTCATAAGTAGGTTCTACCGTTTTAAAATATCATGAAATTTCCGTTGATTTTGACATTTCCCATGTAATTTCTTAATTAGTCTTTGTTCACTTATTATATTGTGAAGCTACGTACAAATTTGAGCCATTAATCAACTGAATTCTTACATCTAACATTTAATGATGGTTGGACAAGTCAGCGTAGTCTAATGGCAAGTTAAGCCGTATTAAAAAAAAAAAAATTCTCCAACAATGAAGACCCTTTATTCTTGGAATCTTGCGCCCCCTGGTCAAATAAAATAAAATACACGTTACTTAGCACATTTTAGTTGTATTTCTCTTCAATTGTAAATGATAGCTCTTAGGTTTAAATCTTATCAATGACAGGTTCGATACTAATTCATTGGGGTTGAACTATTGTATTGTTTAGCCCTCCACCTGTTAATGTAAATAGATTGAAAAATTAAATACTTTGCCTGATCAATTCGTGTAGCATATTTTCTTAGCTCATATGAGGTTGAAGGATTAATCGAGACAAACTATCCAATTCAAAAAATAAAAACTATAATTAGGTACGGAATAGGCACACATACTTACAATAGCAATGTTCTTAATTAACTTTATGAACTTCCAGAGTTGTTTATGTGAGTTTGATTATCCAACGATCGAACGACAGATATTACAAGTTGAATTTGAGACATTACAAGTCGAATTTAAAACATTTGTTTAAGTGAGCGAAGAAAAATATTACCTAAACAAAAAAACCTAATTGGCATTTTAAACTTGTTGTCAGGCTGCAGAGAAACATCTGTCGTGTTCTGAGACATAACAATCCCCTCTGACATTTACCAGCGGTAGTTTAACCAAATTAACCGTCCGCCGCCCACCAAAAGACAACACCAACCAAACAAAACTCCAGAAGCGCAGTCGTCCAAGTCCACACAGCACACCTCTGGTTAATTCCCCAACCCAACTCCTAACTCAACTCAAACCCTGGTTAAGTCCCGAGTCAGCGACTCAGTCCGACTCGGAGCCGCGCCACATTAAAAAACACACTCCCCCGCTCCCTATCTCCCCCCTCTCTCTAAAACTCTCTCTCTCTCTCTCTCTCTCTCACGAGATACGACCAAAAACCTGCTGTCATTTCAACCCTCCGGCGAGTCCAGGTTCCTCAGACGCAAAACCCCACAAAACAGTGCGGTTATGGCCGAGATCGGTGGTGACCCAGCTATGGAGGAAGACAGGGGAGCTCTGGTGCAGAGCCTGATCGACACGATCAACGAAATAGCTGCGATCTCCGACTACAGGTGTGTGGTCAAGAAGCAGTACTGCAATTTGGCGAGGAGGTTGAAGCTGCTGACCCCAATGTTCGAGGAGATTAGGGATAGCAAGGAGGAGGTCTCTCAGGACACTCTGAAGGCCTTGCTTTCGTTCATGGAAGCTCTGGAATCGGCCAAGGAGCTGCTCAGATTCGGAGGCGAAAGCAGCAAGATTTACCTGGTGTGTGCGCATCTTTCGATTCTGAACTTCTTTCTTCTTTGCATTTTGTGTTTGATTGTTGGTGTGGATGATTGTCTTGGTTTTGATTTTGATTGTCCGTTTGGTTGCTGAGAAAATGCGGGAAGTTGAAGGGAAATGGAGGAAAATATTGTTTATTTTGAATTTGGAAAGTGGTGTATTTCTTACTTACTTTTGACTACTGTGGAAGCACCCAAAGCAATAACATTTCTAAGTTGAAAACTTAGATCTAAGCTAAGATTAGCAAAACAGTTGGGTTAGGCCTTGCTAGATTGGATTTTACTTTTGGATGAATAAAGCTGAGGATTAATGGTTTAATTTCTTATCCGTTGCCGCATTATTCTCAGCAATCGAATCAACCTCTTTTCGCTACCAAATGGTTCTGAAACTGATTTCATTTGCTTCTTTCAGTGCTTAGTATATCTTCAAAGACATGATTCCGTTATTTTCCCGAAAATTTGTGATGATTTGAATTATGGCACTCTTTAGTATTCAGGACGAAAGGCTTGAGTGAATTTGTTTTGATGAGAATAATTCCATACATGCTCACCTTTTTGAGTTTGGAATTGGATAGAAAGTTCCCAAAAAGATTCCGTTAAAAAAAAAAAAAATCTGTCTTTTGTTTTGGGTACAGCTGCATCTTTGTTTTGGAGATAATTTTATTAGATCTTGGGGATTTTGCATATCTTGGCAGCAAACGAAAATAGGATGTCATATTAACAAATCTCAATTTATATAAATTTCCCCTTGTACGAATAAAATGTCTTTGCATTGATTTTTTAGAGTGTTGCTTTCTGAGGTTTGGGATGTTCCCATGATTCTATCACGGGTCCTTACTGCTTGATTGTTTTTGTCTCCCTCATTACTGATTGTACCGAGATATAGTACTTTAGCATTCTTGCGTCTCTTGTTATGGGTTAGACTTTTGTATGTCTTCACGGCTTCACCAATTGGATGGCTGAATGGTCATGTTGCTTCAGTATTAAGGTCTAAGAGGCTGTGAATGGAATTATCAGGTCAACGGAATACTATTGGTTGGTAGTAAAAACCGAGAATCAATACAATAGTAGGATATTCTTAGCTGTTGATGTCATCTCTAAGTGAACAAGATTTTTGTTGTTCTCGGTCTTGCTTTTATTTGTGGATGAAATTTGGTAGTTTGATGTTGCACCGCTTTTGGAGGAGATATTTAAAATCATTTGTGGGTGAAAGAAGAACATGTTGAATTTAGTAGTTCTTGAAAACCACCACTTATGGAATCATCTTGTTAAGTGTGTTCTAGTTGTTAATTTGGTTGTTTGGTGTTGGGGTTTCTGTATGATTGATGATTCTGCGACAAAATTTTGGGAAAGCATCACTACTTTTGTTTTGGGCAGAAAAAGGTTTAAACATCCAGCTTCCATGAACTGAGGATTGAGCTATCTTCTGGCATTAAACTTGTTCGCCGAAAGCTGTATTAAAACAAGATGGCAAAGAGTTCTGATGTTTTCAACATGTTCTTCTAGGATGATAACTTCAATTTAATAACATAGTGGCAAATGGCCACCATCTGTTGAAAAGGGTCGCATACTGTTTGTGGAGCTCTGAGAATGAAATTGACACTTTTTAGAATGCTCTGAATGCTACAGGGGTGATTCTCTAGACATGGTTTATGATAAACCAGAAACACCATCTCTCCTTTGGGGTTTCTGAATGCCTAGTCTCAATCTCTCTTGCTCCCTCTCATGTTTTCTGGTCATTCTTATTTTCTCTGTTATTTAAAAATAAGCAAGAAAAAGTGATAAGCATCCTGAACCTACGATTTTCCAGCAATGGTGGAATATAGGGTATTTGGGTTTGAGGAGTAATATTATTTTGCAGTTTGAAAGAGTCAGGAACGGAATAAGATGGCTAAAAATATATGCTCAGAAATAAACTTTAGATGAGTTGGCTAAACAAACTGTGAGTGTTCCCCGATCTCAGTATAGTGGTTGAGATTTGAACTTCAAGTCTCACTAAAACCATTGTCTTAGTGAATAGGGAGGTGATTTTCACACACCCTTCTTAGATTCTCGCACACCGCTCTTTATTTCTGGTCATCAGATTGATCTAATCAAACAAAATCAACGGCCATGATTAAATAGGGGTGTGTAGGAGGCTAAAAAGGGTGTGTTTATCATTTATGTCACCAGATTGTATAATTTTGATAGAAATACTGAATTACATTTTCCAATTGGTACGAAACATGCTTGTGAGTAGGCTTTTTATGTTACAAACTCTTGGTTGTTTTATCATAAGGTTCATATGTCAATGTCCTTTTGCTTTCTATCCTTTGCTTGGGCTCTGTGGGATATGTGCTGTGTTTCACTTTAGGTATGTGTATGTTTATTAATTTATTCTATTTTGAATAAACTATGAAATTAGAACTTCTATTCATATGATGCCTTGATTATTACTCTCTCTCTCGTTCTCTCTTGCCTGAACCTCTTACATCATACTTGTAGGTTTTGGAAAGGGAGCAAATTATGATGAAGTTTCATGAGGTGACAGCTCGATTGGAGCAAGCTTTAAGTGGACTTTCCTATGAAAATCTTGACATATCTGATGAAGTTAAGGAACAGGTATATATTCATCACTGAACATTCCTGTCATTGTTTTGGGATGTGGTGTGATAACAAGGGATCACAATGTAATAGCTATCTTATATTTCTGAATTTGGCCTTGACTTCTTTGGGATCCTTGTCATGTATTGTTACAATGAGATGCCAGATTTTTCCTTGCGCAATTCTTTAATTATCTTCTCTAAAATTTATTAAAAGATCTTTAGTGTATGAACGATCCACTCACACAGACATGTAACAACACAATGGCTTGAAACTTACACCAGTTTGTGGTAAAAAAAGAATTTTAGATTTTTGAGTGTTATATTCTTCAACTGTATCTGTCTTCCAGGTTGAGCTTGTTCTTGCTCAGTTTAGAAGAGCCAAAGGAAGGTTCGATTCGCCTGATGTTGAGCTCTATGAAGATCTATTGTCCATTTACAGTAAAAATGAGGCAGCAACAGATCCAACTGTCCTAAGAAGATTGGTCGATAAGTTAGAATTGACAGGGATAGCTGAACTGACACAAGAATCACTAGCCTTGCATGAGATGGTTACTTTCAGTGGTGGGGATCCTGGGGAGAGCATCGAGAAGATGTCTATGCTACTGAAAAAAATTAAGGAATTTGTACAAACAGAAAACCCCGACATGGATGCTCCTGCAGCAGAAAAGAATATATTAGCAAGTTGCAGTGGGCAAGCATCCACTGACAAGAATCACAAAGACCCCCCAGTTATACCAGATGATTTTCGTTGTCCAATATCTTTGGAGTTAATGAAGGATCCTGTCATTGTTTCAACAGGGCAGGTATATCATGCTTGCTCTTTGATACCAAGAACTAAATTGCACCATAATTATACCTTTTGCTTTTTCCTTCTTTCACGGGATGTTATTAGATTTCTTTTTCCATTCCTTGTTTGTGTCAGATGTCAATAATGGGATGTTAATAGATGTCTTCTCGTAGAAAAGTTGTTATATTGAAATTTGTTTGCTATGAATCTATGATGTATCCAGTTGTTGGATCAATATGTCCTCCATATGCAATCAGCTTGGGTTGTCTTATGTTAGTTCCGTTGTATGGTTTTTCAGAAACAAACCAGAACTTTTTGACTGGGAGGCTGAAAAGATGTCATGCAGATTGGATATTTGTATTAATTTTTACATTTTAAGTCCACGCCCAGGACATCCATCATGCTGCCACTAATTTAAAAGATTTTGTTTTCCGCTGCTGCAGACATATGAACGTTCCTGTATTGAGAGGTGGCTGGAAGCAGGTCATGGGACATGTCCGAAAACACAACAGAGCCTCTCTAACACCACCCTCACGCCGAACTACGCTTTACGTAGCCTTATTGCCCAGTGGTGCGAGGCAAATGGCATTGAACCACCAAAAAGACCCAATTCTCGACCTAATAAAACTGCATCCGCCTGCTCGCCAGCAGAACGCACTAAGATTGGAATTCTCCTCCACAAGCTGATGTCAGTAAACCCTGAAGACCAAAGGTCTGCTGCGGGTGAAATCCGCCTTCTTGCCAAACGTAATGCGGATAATCGTGTGGCTATTGCTGAAGCTGGTGCAATACCCCTGCTTGTAGGCCTCCTTTCAACCCCCGACTCCCGCACCCAAGAGCATGCTGTGACAGCACTCCTCAACCTTTCCATATGTGAGGATAACAAAGGAAGCATCATCTCCTCTGGAGCAATTCCTGGTATTGTTCATGTCCTCAAGAATGGAGGGATGGAAGCACGGGAAAATGCAGCTGCAACCCTTTTCAGCCTTTCTGTTGTGGATGAAAATAAAGTTAGAATTGGTGCTTCAGGAGCTATTCCGCCACTTGTTAAATTGCTGAGTGAAGGTACCCAAAGGGGGAAGAAAGATGCTGCGACTGCACTTTTTAACTTGTGCATTTATCAAGGTAACAAGGGGAAGGCAGTAAGGGCCGGTGTTGTTTCGACCCTAATGAAGCTGCTGACAGAACCTGGAGGTGGTATGGTGGATGAAGCACTTGCCATTCTAGCAATATTGTCTAGCCACCATGAAGGGAAAGCGGCCATTGGAGCAGCTGAAGCTGTGCCTGTTTTGGTCGAAGTTATCGGGACTGGATCTCCCCGAAACAGAGAAAATGCAGCTGCAGTTTTGGTGCATCTTTGTTCTGGAGACCAACAACATATAATAGAGGCTCAGAAACTCGGGGTGGTGAGTTTGTTATTGGAGTTGGCACAAAATGGCACAGATAGAGGCAAGAGAAAGGCTGCGCAGTTACTTGAGCGAATGAATCGGTTTGCTGAGCAGCAGATGCAGGTGCAGGCCCAGGCACAAGCCGAGGCTCAGTCTGAGACCCAGTCACATCCACCCACTACTACAAATGCCATTGGCAGATGATAGTTTTTTGTTTTCTCGGTTTCTTTTGTTCTTTTCAAGCATCAAAAGAAGCGGGTTTGCTTTGGCAGGGGAGGAAGGTGGAAGATCGCCTTCCAAACCTGTTAAGTTATTCATTTCATTTTATTTGTGTGGGATGATACTATACTTTGAAGGGGTTCTTTATAAAGAGCAACATGGGTAGGAAGGGGGGCAAAAGTAAAAACAAAAGGAAGAAGAGGAGGAGGGGGCTGAGATATACCTGACGTGATATGTACCAAATTGTAACATGTGTATGACTGCTGTAATCATCCTCAGTTTTAGTGAAGCGATGTTGCTTATATTCAACATGAACTGCGTTTGTGCAAAGTTTTTGTGAATGTTGGGCTCATAAAAGGAAGAAGCTATTTATCTCAAGTTCTGCGGTTGGTCTGCTGCAAATTGCAATCAATAGCATCTTAGGTTGTGTGCAATGCTGGCCACGATTGGTCAGTAGGATTGGATTGAAATAAATAACCTAGTTATATTCAGGTCTGCTGAAGGAAGAAATGAAAAAATGCGTTCAACTTTGACGGCAGAAGATGGATTACTCGTTAAGGAAACTTATCCATTCTATGTCCCTCAAAACCAAAATGGGTGGATTAGAATTAGAAGGGATGAGTTTTTTTCATGTCTAAACTTCTTTTAATCCCTTGAAATGAAAATGATTCGCCTATACCTTCTATTTCAATCCAATCCTAGAGACCAAATGAAGTCATAGTTCCTATACCTTTAGATTCCGTTTGTTACACTGGATTGACTTGGATTAGAATGGGTTCAAGATTTGACTTCCTCCAATGTAATAGAGAAAACAAACACGTGGTCCTAGCATCTTTAGTACAAAATGAGCCACTTTAAATGGATTCAATTAACCGGCCTAAAGCCGAAATACCATTGATCTAGCATGATAGAGCTACATAAGCCTCCACCCTCTCCACCACAAAATTCATTCAAGCCCTGGCAGGGGGTTGGGGTGGCGCCGCTGCCGAGGCTTGACTAATTATTATTTGGTTAACCATAGTTTACATTCTTTAGGGTTTGGGTGATTTCAAATTAGACCACAAAGTTTTAATTTTTTTCATATTACTAGGCCTTGCAAATGGGTTGTGTCTATCGTGTTCGTATCGTTTTTGTGTAACATCTGTTATTTTAATGGGTCGTGTCATGTTATATCCGTTATCTTAACGGGTCCTTAACAGGTTGAGTCACTTTACCCGTTAAGAAATTTTTTTTTTCCTTAAATTTGCACATACCACACATTGCCACATAAATATTATTTCAAAACATTAAAACACATTTGTTGTTTAAGTACTACATCTATACTCGAAAATAAGAGTCTAATAAAAAAATTATACATACACTAATAATCTATTACAAATATTAAATGTGCAAGGATATACAAAATGAAAGAGTTTTTGTTTTCAAGGTTTGTGAAGCCTCTCTCAAAAGTTTAAACCTTGCCAATGGAACTCAAACCTTGCATGTTATTCCTTTTACAAAATCCTCAATTTACATCGATCATCATGAGGAAATTGTATTGAAACTTTGGTTTGATCTATTGCCTTCAAGAGTTATGTTGATGATGTTTTCAGTAAGGTTTTCCATGTCAAAACTCTCTTTCGCATGAACCAAGTATAGAAAAACCAAACATTAAAAATCATTCAAATTATGAGTAGTTTACCAAAGCAATTATGAAAAGAAATAAAACAATAGTACTATACCATATAAAAATATATTACCTCCTTTTCCAAATAGCCAATCTCGTGTGCACAACAAAGCTTGAACTGTTTCTGGTAACAATGAACTACGATACTAATCTAGTACTCTACCCCCAATACTAAATGCAGATTCAGATGCAACAGTTGAAATGTGAATTGTTAACATATCTCATGCTAACTGAGAAAGTATCGGATAATGAAAACACTCCATTTGTCACCAAGAAAGAACATCAATGTCTACTTTTCTATCTATTCTTTTATCCTCCAAATACTTCTACAATTCATTTTTTTCAATCGAACTTGAACCATCGTAATTATTATCAAAATCCTACATCATAAACGATCATGCATTATGTCAATTTCAAATATAATATCAAAACTTTTATAGTACTAATACTACAATCTACAAATATATAAAGTAAATAAAAACAAACTTAGGTTACCTCAAAGAGAACATCTACAGATTCTGTTTGATGATTAGGCACTGAATTCACTGGAGTATTTGAATTATCAAGATGCGGAAGTTTTTCCAAGTACACACCAAAAAGATCATTCAATTTGTCATTAACCTTTGTAAATTCAACCGAATTCACACCATGAAGTTTTGTGTAAGCCCAATCCGCAAAATGCAATTTATAACGTGGGTCTAAGATGATTGCAATTGCCAAAATCAAATTGTACTCTAACCAATACTTCTCAAACTTTATGTACATGTAAGTCCCCATCTTATTCATGAAACTTTCAGTGTCATTCATGGCTGCCTTAATTTGAAGTTGGATTACGAACTCCTTAAGTAAGAATAAATTTGATGTAAGGTACTTTGTCCTAGAGAATAAGCACGTAACCTCATAAAAGTACCCAAAAAACTTGGAAATCTTCATTATTTTATCCCACTCTTCAGAAGAATGACAACTAGTAAAATTGGAATCACTCAACCCTAAATAAATCAAAGCATATCAATAGAAAATTGCACTATCTAGCATAATATAGGTTAAGTTCTATCTAGTAGGGACATCTTGTCTCAAACCTCTCCTATTATCTACTATCCTTACTTGTCTAACACATTCATAAAACTTTAGTTTCCTAGCTTTAGAGCCCTTTATATACTTGATGCATTCACAAATTTTTATCACTGAATAATCATTTCTTTAAGTCCATCTTGAACTATCAAATTCAAGACATGAGCACAACAACGCATATGAAAGAGGTCACCATTCATCACGAGAAGACTTCTAAGATTCAATTGATTCTTCAAAATGCAAACAAAAGAAATATTAGAAGAAGCATTATCCAAAGTAATAGAAAAATAACTCTTCTCAATCCCCCACTCAGTCACCAATGCATTAATTTTCTTAGATAATGCAATACCAGTATGAGGATGAGGCATGTAACAAAAACTTAAAATTCTCTTATGCAATTTCCAATCTTTGTCTACAAAGTAAGCAGTAAGAGCAAGATACCCATCAGTGCGTTGCGAGGTCCATAAGTCTAATGTCAAACAAATTCTACCTTCAACTGAGCCTAACAAATTATGAAACCTTTATTTTTCATTTTTGAACATCCTCAACACACAAACTTTAATTGTATTTCTACATGATGACTTAATATCAGGAGATATATATGCAAATAAAGCCCTAATTCCCTCATATTCAGAAAAACTAAAACGAAGATTATGCTTGATGATGACCTTTACCAATAAGCTACGGAATACCACAAGATCAAAGTTTTGGGAACAGAATTCAGACATCGATAATAATCCACCAGTCTGTCCAGGGCATGTTTTCAAATGTCTATTCATATTACCCGTCCCATGATGACTATCATCTATTACCAGTTTCTTACAATTTTTACATTGATCACGACTTTTACCATCTTCAAAAATAGTAGTTAATTTGTTGAAAGTTTTCCAAACAGGAGACCTGAGTGTTCGCTTACCTAATTTGATCACTCTAGCCTTTTTCTTTGCAGGACTTGTATTTGTATCTTCTGTATTTTCACTTTCATGATCAAGTTGTAATCACATTGTCACTTCCACTGACCCTTCATCACTAAGGTTCGTAAAATCTTGCTCTACAACATCCATTGCTTCAAGAAAGAAAAACAAAACTGTAAAATCTTGCTCATACCAATTTCATACCATATCTATTTCAATTTCACATATATAATTGCACTCAAACAGTAAGCAAATAGTAAGCAAATTTCCCATATCCATATCAATTGCACTGGCAAACGCCAAACAGTAAGCATCTTCATATATAAGAGTTTTTATCATTTATAGCCAAAATTTACTCTTCAAATTCATAAATATCATTTTTTTTATAAAACAATTCAAATATAGCCAAAAGTTGCCTTATTTGGGTAACCCTCTGTTTAAGACCTCATGTGCAGAATCATGAGAGCATACAATCGCAATTTCCATCAAAATGAATAGTTGCAGAATATTATTTAAAAATATGTAGAAACTGTATAAAAAAAAAACATATTTTTTCTGAAAAAATACCAATTAATTAGCACACAAGAATATTCAAAAGTTATAGTTTTGTGAAATTTTCATCATCGTCTTGATTGTAGGCTTGTATATTAAGAAATTAAATTGATAATTTGATTGACTTAATTTCCATCCGAATAAATACATCTTCATAAAATGTTTAATTTCATCATGCTCCTCTTTCTATCTTAAACCATTAAAATGAAAAAGAACAAAGAAGGAATTTCAGAAACAAGAATTTCAGAGTCCCTATTCAAAATCCCTAATTCAGAAACCTGAATTTCAGAAATTCCTAATTCCAAAAGCCCTAATTTAGAAACCCTTGAGTTTATTGCAGGAATTTCTTACCTTGTGCAGTGAGGAGGAGTCCGGACTGAGACCGAGAGCTCGATTCAGGAGCTGGATTTGGGTGGTACTGGTATGGACAATGGGTGAACCGGTGAAGTCACGATTTAGGTGAGGAGTGAGGACTGACAGAGTGACTGAGTGTGGGTGATAGTATGGGTGAGGTCGAGGACGACGAGGAGGGTGAGCCGGTGAGGTCATTGATCTGAGACTGAGGTGAGGCTTGTGAAGAGGGTGAGGCGCCACCGCGTGTGAGGTCAAAGTCGATCGAGAGAGACAGAGAGAATGATTTGAATCTTTGACTCTCTGAGAGTTAAGTTAATGAGAGAGAAGAGGAATAGCCTACAATGGACTGCTGAGATTAAATCTCAGCCGATCCAATGGTTATCAAAATTTTAAACTTAATTTAATATATATATATATATATAATTATATTATGGATGGCTGAGATTAAATCTCAGCCGATCCAATGGTCATCAATTTTTTAAATTTAATTTAATATATATATATATAATTATTATAGTTTTTAGGGGTATAAAATTGTTAAATTAATATATATAATTATTATAGTTTATTCATACTTTTATTAAGTATAACATAAGATTATGTGGTATCCACTAGTATAAATATTTTAAATTGAAGATCGAATTCATTCTTTATAAAATCAGAGTTAAAATAACCGTTAAATCGTGATTTTTCTTTTTATAACCATTGGAAAGTTTTGTCCCGTTACTTGATCTCAGAATGTTTGTTTTTTGCAATTT